TGATGTTTCGGGCCTAGACCCTTCTTCAGAAGGCCCGAAACGTCAGCCTTCCTGCTCCTCTGATGCTGCTTGGCCTGCTGTGTTCATCCAGCTCTACACCTTGTTATCTCACAAAAATTCAAACTGGGTTGGGAGCTTTGACATTTTTTCCTATATACCAGGCTTTTATGACATCTATGAAACAAAAACAGAAATTGCTGGAAAAACTCAACATGTCTGGCAGCATCTATGGAGAGAAATCAGAATTAACGTTTTGGGTCTAGTGACCCTTCTTCAGAAATTTTATGACAACTCAGTAGTTTCATGAACATCATTATTCAGACTGGGCTTTTAAGTTCACATCTATCAACAGTTCAGCTTCACTGAGAGCCCACCAACATCTATAGCTCACTCCCAACTACTATTCAATTCTATTGAGAACTCATCCTATCTACAGCATGGCACCTGTGAGAGTCTAGGAACATCAATAACCCAATAACACAGCTGGCTTCCACCCCTAATAACTCAGCCACAAGTCGAGGACAAGAACTGCCACATCATGAATGTCACTCTCTAGTCAGTAGTGTAAGGATGACTTGTATTACTTTCCTTATTTCAGGGAGAATCAAACCATGCTGCATTGCTTTAGGGGAACCTAGAGATCAACTGGTACCTGACAGAGGTGAATAAACTCCAGCATTAAGCATGGATCACTTCAGAATCAACCATGTGAGGGACTGGAGTTATTGATGTAACTAGGCTTTCCAACAATCTGACAGTTTTGAATTCATTTTTACTGATACTGTTTATTTTCGTATTTATTTTTGAATTGAATTCCATATCTGAGATACCATTGATAGATTTGAACAGTTGTGTTTTGGATTACTAATCTTGTGATACAGTCACTACAGTAGTACTCACTGCAAGAAAGCTGAGGAACAGTGTTAATGAGTATGCAATGCAACCTGTACCAAGGATTTCAGTGTCAGTGAAATGGAGATAGTGAAACTTTATTATAGATTATAAATATAACTTGTTGGTAGCTGAGCAGTCCAGTTTATTGTGAGCCTATTCTACTTCTCAGGAACCTGTTAAACTTAAATGAAATGGCCCTGAATCTCCCGAAGAGATGTCCTAATGTAATGCTGTAACTTCAATGGGAGATCAACAATTCCCACTGAAACAATATTTTCAGCTGTGTTACTTTAGGAAATACATAGGATTTCAGGAGATCATCTGTGAAAATATAGATTCTTATATTTTTTTCTGGTGTAATCTGGGATCACTGCAATTGATTGAGAACAATATGGCCCAAATTCTCTTTGCATGGAAATTCTCCCAGTCTTCACTGTAATCTCAATGTTAAGAGCTGAAAATATGGAAATTCAGATTCTGTGTATAGAAACATGCTCCTTGACTTTCACCCGGTGTTTACCATATGCTGAGAACTTCATATCAAGGAATATTTCCTTGTTCTTCTCCACATCCTTGTAGGAAACTGTGCATGTATAATCTCCTGACATGAACTTGTCAAAGGATCTCAGTATAAGGCCTCCTGTTTCAGATATCCTTACATAAGGCTCCCCTAAAAAAGAACACATAAAATCCACTGTTAGCACAAAACTCTGTAAAATTAATAATTTGTAGCACTCGTTCCACAACACCATGGGAGTACAAGCTTCGGTTTATCAGAAAACATCTACAACAATAGTGACTGCAGCTATTATAAAGCTTAAGGAATTATTAAAGAATACTGTCTTGAGACAGAGAAAGTTAACTGGATTGTCAAATATCACGAGGCCAAAGGATGAGATGATGTTTATGTAACATAGTTGAGTTTCAGTTATTTTGTACCAAAGGCAACCTCTTTGTCATGGTGTCAAATGGTCAAATAAGAACAGAAAGCAGTGTTACTGACAACTTTTCAGAGGCAGTTATCAACCAGAGTATTTCACTTAATAGGCCAAAAGATGAAGCAAATTAAAATGGGAAAGGAGGCTTTCAGTGTAAGTTGCTGGGAACTCAGAACTGGCACATTCCTTTAAGGATGAAAGATAAGTATGGCAAGTTTAAGGAACCTTGGATAACGAGAAATATTGTGAACCTAATCAAAAAGAGAAAGGAAGCATTTATCAAGGCTAGGAGGCAGGGAACACATGAAGCAAGGGCGGAATACAAGGAACGTCGAAAGAAACTTAAGCAAGGAGTCAGGAGGACTAAAAGGGGTCATGAAAAGTCATTGGCCAACAGGATTAAGGAAAATCCCAAGGCTTTTTACACATACATAAAGCACAAGAGGGTAGCCAGGTAGAGGGCTGGCCCACTCAAGGACAGGGAAGGGAATTTATGTGTGGAGCAAAGGAAATGGGCAACGTGTTAAATGAGTACTTTGCATCAGTATTCACCACAGAGAAGGACTTGGTGGATGATGAGTCTGGGGAAGGGTGTGTAGATAGTTTGGGCCATGTTGAGATCAAAAGGGAGGAGGTATTGGGGGTCTTGAAAAACATTAAGGTAGACAAGTCCCCAGGGCCTGATGGGATATACCTCAGAATACTGGGAGAAGCAAAGGAGGAAACTGCTGGGGCCTTGAGGGAAATCTTTGTATCCTCACTGGCTACAGGGGAGGTCCCAGAGGATTGGAGAATAGCCACTGTCATTCCTTTGTTTAAGAAGGGTGGCAAGGATAATCCAGCTAATTACAGGTCAGTGACCCTTACATCACTGGTAGGGAAATTATTGGAGAGGATTCTTCGAGGCAGGATTTACTCCCACCTGGAAATCAATGGGCGTATTAGTGAGAGCCAACATGGTTTTGTGAAGGGGAGATCATGTTTCACTGACTTGGTTGAGTTTTTTGAGGAAGTAACGAAGATGATCGATGATGGTAAGGCAGTGGATGTTGTCTACATGGACTTCAGTTCGGCCTTTGACAAGGTCCCTCATGGCAGGCTGATACAGAAAGTAAAGTTGCACAGGGTCAGAGGTGAGCTTGCAAGATGGATAAAAAACTGGCTCAGTCACAGAAGACAGAGGGTAGCAGTGGAAGGGCGCGTTTCTGAATGGAGGACTGTGACTAGTGGCGTTCCTCAGGGATCAGTGTTGGGACCTTTGCTGTTTGTAATATATATAAATGATCTGGACGAGAATGTAACTGGTCTGATTAGTAAGTTTGCCGATGACACAAAAGTTGCTGGAATTGTGGATAGCGATGAGGACCATCAAAAGATACAGATGGATATAGATCGGTTGGTGACCTGAGCAGAGAGATGGCAGATGGAGTTTAATCCGGAAAAAAGTGAGGTAGTGCATTTTGGAAAGTCCAATCCAGATGGAAAATATACAGTAAATGGCAGAACCCTTAACAGTACTGATAGGCAGCGGGATCTGGGTGTACAGGTACGAAGGTCACTGAAAGTGGCAACGCAAGTGGAAAAGGTAGTCAACAAGGCATGTGGCATGCTTGCCTTCATCGGCCGGGGCATTGAGTTTAAAAATGGCAGGTAATGTTGCAGCTTTATAGAACCTTAGTTAGGCCACATTTGGAATATTGTGTTCAATTCTGGTCGCCACACTACCAGAAGGATGTGGTGGCTTTGGAGAAGGTACAGAAAAGATTTACCAGGATGTTGCCTGGTATGGTGGGCATTAGCTATGAGGAGAGGTTGGAGAAACTTGGGTTGTTCTCACTGGAACGATGGAGGTTGAGGGGCAACCTGATAGAGGTCTACAAGATTATGAAGGGCACAGACAGAGTGGACAGTCAGAAGTTTTTTCCCAGGGTGGAAGAGTCAGTTACCAGGGGCCATGGGTTTAAGGTGCGAGGGGCAAGGTTTAAAGGTGATGTACAAGGCAAATATTTTACACAGAGAGTGGTGGGTGCCTGGAACTCTCTGCCAGGGGAGGTAGTGAAAGCAGATACGATAGTGACTTTTAAAGGGTGTCTTGACAAATATATGAATAGGATCGGAATAGAGGGATACGGTCCCCAGAAGGGTAGGGGGTTTTAGTTGTGACAGGCAGCAAGTTGGTGCAGGCTTGGAGGGCCAAAGGGCCTGTTCCTGTACTGCAATTTTCTTTGTTCTTTGACATCACATGAAGATGTTTTGAGTAAACTTCATTCTTGGAAGAGCCCATTTGCAAAAGGCATCACAAGGCTGGCATTTCAGGAACTACAGCTGTTCTGATGCAATAAACAAGGAAAATAGCAAACAGCCAGCCTATGCTTTCCAAGAAGCACTCTCTTCTCTGATATCTGTTGACTCCTACTGTTACCATAAAAATTCTCTCACTCACATTATTTTCCAACGCTCAACCTTATCCCTCTCTTAGAAATTTTGCTCACTGGCAAGGCAATTGCTCCCCAATTCCTTCCTTCTCAATCTATCCAGAACTCCCAGCTCGCAACCGTCATCCTAGCCTTGCACTATTGCTAGTTAAGATCCTCCTAAGAAATACTACTGTTCCACTCTTTTCTTGTCTATCTGCTACTCACTATTAAAATCGTCCATGTCCAAATCAGTTCACCATGTGCACTAGTTACACTCCAATTCCAACTCCCCATCACTTATCTCAACTCCAACCTGACAAACTGCTTTTCGAACATTAAATCATGGATTACTGACATTATGTGAATGGACACCAAAAAGACTAAAGCCACCATCTAAGATGAACCAGACCATTTTAAACATTTTAACTCAATGAGGCAAGGGTGCAGGGATATTAATCTTAGATTGACATTGTAAATAGTGATAAATGATCACTCATCTATAACACATCTCTCCCAATGTTCATGTCCTGAATGTGTGTGATCCAATATTGCCAAGGTTACGTTATTGACCAAAGTCATGATTATTTGTATTCCACGGTGTCTTGTGGGCTATAAACTGAGCTCCAAGCCCCAAGTTACTCCCTTTACCAGGAACACTTATTTTCCTGTCCATATTACTACTTGTGGTGCAGTGCTATTGTTCATGTCAGTCACTAAGGCTGGGATGCAAGTCCCACCTTGGTCCAGAGGTTTGTTCCAATACATCTGAACAGATTGATTTAAAACTATTTACAATATTGCCTGCCTGTGTTGCTAGCCCACTCATATTAATGTTAAAACCTGCATTCTTGCTTTTGTCATCTCTAGATTTGCATGCAAAGACGTTCAATTTAACCAAGCTCAAGCACCTCTAGAAACACATGCAATGTGTTTATTAGATTGGGTGCTGCAGAGGCACCCCTGATGACAATCTAAAACAGATAAGATCCCCTGACGATATTAATAAAGGCCAACATGTGTTCTGAAATCTAAACAGGAAATGGCTGTACTTGGTGGAGTATGTGCAAGTCTAATCTATATGTAATCCAACCAGGGTTCAGTTTTTAAAGAAACCATGGGAGATCACTACCTAAAACAGGGTATTAAAATTTTATTTGGAAAAACTATCAGCCGCAGATTGGTCCCTGCCAACTGGACTCACAATAGATCCTCAGAGAGAGTTTCAGCCTGCTGATCTTCTATACCTCTTACACTCACATTCTGTGGTTGGACGAACTGCATCAGGATAATCAATGAACAAAGCTGGGAATGAATTTGTCTTAATCCTGCCACCAGCCTCTTTAAGCCCATATTATGGTGCAGTGGTGGTGTCCCTAACCCTGGGAACGGGGGGCCCGGGTTCAAGTTCTACCTGCTCCAGAGATGTGTAGTAACATCTCAGAACAGGTTGTTTAGCAAAATAGGTAAGCACATACAATATATAGAACAGATAGTATATTGTGGGTCTTATCCAGATCAGATACTGCAGTGCGTGCTGAATCTTGATTGAATTGTTCAATGTGTATGTGGATTAGATTATTCAGTGTGTGCTATATCCGGATTGGATTGTTTGGTGCATACTGTATCAGGATTGGGCATGATCTATGTGCAGATCGACTGTTGGTTCTCCTTGATGGGATCCTAGTGTGCACCTCAACAAGTTCCACCATGCCCAAAATTCAACCACCTTGAAATCTGTCTTGCAATAATAACTTTCCAACCATTCCATTCCTCAACAATTTATATCAGCTCCCATCACAGAAAGCATTAGAGTCAAACAGCTCAATATTTCCATCAACGCATTGATCACCCAATCTCTACAAATTTCCCATGTTGATCACTGCACCCACTAGCTCTCAAACTCTACTGTTCATTGCCCATGTTCTGACACAGGTTTAATACATCTTGAACCTCCATTCTGGACCCCTCACTTAAATCTTCTCAGCTCTTTGATAAAGCCTTTAATTACACCTGATCTCTCCCTTCATGTCTCAGCATTCATTCTAGTTTCTATACTAACATGTGAGGTAGGATATTTTCTTTGCAGCACAAGTAAAGGTAAAATCACCCTAGCCCCATAAGACTGCTTTATCATAAGGGAGAGATGGCTGGTGGTGAGTTTAGCCTGAGGATCACCACACCTCAGGCGGGGAGTGAGGTTGAGCAGGCAGAACTTTCATCGTGACCTCAGTCAATACAGAAATTAAACACATACTGTCAGTGTCACATTGCGTCGCAAAACAGCTGTCTCGCCAACTGAGCTAACCAACCCCCTG